TCACAGGGCCGAGCGGAGCCGGGTTTGCCAGCTAGTATAAGATGAGCGTGGTTCTTGGAAAAAATCATCGAAGAAACGAAGACAGGATGAAATGCGCTTTCCGGTGGTTTCTTTCAGGTCACAGCTGATAGAGGGGGCGGGGCTGTCGTAGGGGGCGTGGTTGCCAAGGACTCCTCGATACCTAAAGATTGCGCACTTTTTTTGGCAATAATTCTATGCTTGAATAATGGGTAAATATCATTTCAGGAAATTTCTTCCTGCTTGATGGTAAAACTTTCAAACCCAGAGGAACTTACCTGGATGATGAAAATGCCGTAGCATTCAATTATGATTTCTGGTATCAGCCTAGAATTGACCTCATGGTTAGCACTGGATGGGGCGGACCTAATACGGTTAAGAAAGGGTTCCATGCTACGGATGTAATGAAAGGTAAGCGGATCAGGTTGTAAGTGGTTACCGTAATAACACCGTAATACTAATATTATAGGAGACTACGGCTTTTCTGTGAATTTGTTCCGATGGTCAACACATGAGAAAATACAAACTATAGAATTGCCGGAACTTGGCGGACCTATGCCCTTTGAAATAAGGTAAAGCAACTGGGTTTTTGCTCATTTTGAGAATCATAGGATGAAAAGATTTTTCTTTCCTTAAGAATCAAAAATAAAAATCTTCCACAAAATCTTGCTTTAGGTTCAAACACGACCCAAACAGTCCATATGCCTTTTTCGGGTCAGTTCTTGGATCGTGTCTATGGCTACTCAAACCCGAGTCTGAGGTAATAGTTTGCACTGAATTATCATTGCCAACCGAGTGTGAAACGGGGATTTTCCATTCGAATATCTTAGCATGAATATAATTATTTCATTTATTTTAGGGCTCGCAGCAGTATACCGCTGAATGTGCTGTGAAAATTCCTTCTATAGAGGTATGAACTTATTAGTTTTTTTTTTGAAAGTTGAGTACCGCACACTTACAGTGTTTTTTCTAAGCTTTACTATACGATGATTTCATACATTAGAGGATGTAAAAATGTATGTTTGATTAAAAAAAATGAAAAAAATAGATCGAGTACGTAAAATGGATGTAAAAAATAATAAAATAAGTAAGAAAGAAAAACAATACTATCAAGAATATGACATTAAAAATAGAAATATTAGGTTGGCTAAAAAATAATTTCGTTTTGGCCCGAAAATCTCCATAAAAACTTTCTTAGTTGTTTTTTACCCATGATTTTTCATAGGTAAGTAGATCAAAGATTTTTCTATCACTATCTGCTACTCACAATCTCAAATCACCAGTAAGGGACACTTACGCCCCAACATGCATAAAATTCCA